ATAAGCTTCCAGAACTCACTAAGACTCCTACGCTATAGACCTACAGATCGAACCCCTGCTGTCTATGGACCTACGACAGGTCTACCAACTGCCTACGAATACACAGGTCACAGGTTCAATTCTCGGGGTCTACACAGATACTGTACATGGGTAGGGTGAGGTCTAGGGATCGAACCCTGGGTACTGCATCCGCTACTGCTAAAAGGTGAAAACCGTTTCAATTCGTAGATACAATTCAATTCTAAGTACATACTAAATTTGATCTTAACCAAAATTGGAACTGAACGTATTAATATTGTCTACAGAAAGTAAACAATTGAGAACAACCAAGGGAACAGCCACATATAAAGAGTCCTAGGGAGTTCAACAGGAGGGAGAGATGTGTAACCGCGCCCACTGAATTATGAGAAAGGAAGATTCAAGCGAAATTCCTCGGTGACACAAAGTGGATCGTAGCACACTCCCCACACCACTCAAGGCACGGGTTACCCTGTGTACCGCCCCTAGTGAGTCTCCCACTCCCGCTGATGGCGCCGCCTCCCATGGGGCTTCAGGGCTTTACGACAATCAAAGTTTCGAGAATCTACAAAATATGAAACTAACGGAACAATCTCACTGACTAAGAGCTGGGAAGAAAATAAGCCTTAGGGTTACCCTCTCATCCTCACTATCCAAAACACTGTGAAGAGCCTTTGTTGCCTAGACGGGTTTCCCACCACGCACCCAATGGATACAACTCTAGTTTGCTCTTCACCGGGTCTCTAATATCATCCCAATCCTGTTGAGTATCACCCTAAACCACTGCAAACATACCGCAGCGCTTAAGAATATCGAGAATCCTGTTGAGTATCACCCTAAACCACTGCAAACCTACCGCAGCGCTTAAGAATATCGAGAATCTGTGAATCTCAATCATACATGAAAACTCAAAACCAACGTGAGCGATAGACGAGAACACAGCCAGGCTAAAATGAACGGTGAAAAGCGCTAGTGATGGGAGAGTACGCAAAGGAGAAGTACGGTTGACGGAAGGGAAGAGTAGAGGTCAAAGGAAAGCAAGGGAAGGTGAGGGAGAAGCGAAGGAGAACGAAGTGACACCACTCGTAACCAGCTATTATAGAACTCAAAGACGATTAAGTCGTAAGCGGATTAGGGAACGCTCGGTCAAATGGGAAGCAACCCAGAGAAGAATAGAGCAAGTACAGGGTATGCAGAGCAGCAGCCGACGTCATGCTAGCAGAAGAGATATCGGGGGGAAACGAGGTGGAAAAGCAACGAAGGAACAGAGGATCGCTTTACCCACACAAGCGGCCGGCCGCAAAATGATGACGGAAAGATAGAAAGGAGCACAGACCAGGAACAGAGGAGTTAGGGCAACTGAAAAGTAACGGACAAAAAACCTTCAAACTACATCAAACGGAAAACTACACAGAACGAAGAAGACAAAGCAACAACCAAATCACGTAAAAACGTAGCATGAAGTGAATGAACTTCAGACTGCCTTGCGACGTAGATAGGTCAGACGAGACTTGCTGTAGCCCTTGGACGTGCCGGAACGCTGCCACCACAGCCGCACGCTCTCCCACTGCGTCCAGATACGCCGCTCCGCCTTCCATGCTTTTCCTGGGGTCGAGGCAGTCGGGATGGCGTGTCATGAAAGTACAGCGGGCGGCCTTTGGATGGTGAGAAAGGAGGCCCCCCTTTCCAGCAGAAGGCTTGAGGGGAGGACGGCTCCTCTGGTATCGGGATTCTGTCAGGTATTACAGTTGGTATGGAGGTCAGGTACGGAGCTGCAAGGATGCCAGGGCATAAGAGTGCAAGGCACTCCCTACCCACTCAAGGGCTAGGCTACGCCAGGGCACTGTCGCCATAGCTCTCACACAGCTATGGTGCCTGGCAGGGTAGGAGCCTCGTGGGAAAGATTAGCGTCCACATACCCCAACGTTGCGTCCTACACAGCCGCCAACGACGACCGGGCGCCACCACCCCCGCTATCGCCACTTCGTTAGCGCACATTTCGCACGGCCGAACTCAAACTGAACAACTTTTGCCTCAGGGTCACATCGAAAATTTTCACCAAATTTAGAATAAAAAATAAAATAAAATAAATAATATAATATTAATATTTGTATTTTTATTATTTTTATTTTTTTTGCCTGGCCAGGCAAGTGACCCCGCATATTACTGACGCTCATTCATTCACACAATCGCAGAATGACAGTGTGAAAAGGACAGACACATGGTGGGAGAAGAGACAGACAAACGTCAAAATCCGAGCACAGGTAGTGTGCCGTAGATTGAAAAACGTCGAAAACATGACGACACACGGCAGCGCGACCCAACGCTGCGTTTCGACCGGTCGCCAGCCGGCACTCCTCACGGGTCAATACCTGGCGCAGATGACTTAACCAGACCGTCAACAGTCATATATATACTAGCCTGCCTTCCCCAGTCCTATCGAGAAACCCTTCGTAGTTCTACCCCAACCGGCACTGGTGTCCCTAATGGGCCCAAAACAGTCATCCGTTGGTACCCCTCGTACCAGAAACTTCCTAGTCTTATTCCGAAAAGGATGGTATCACCTGGGCCCCGCTTAAGGCCGGCCTTGTCCGTACATAACATACTAGGTCGTGTCGTTTTTTTTTTTGTTTTTTTTT